AGTTCAATGTCGTGTTTGGTTTGAAGACAGTTACTACTTTGAATTAAGCCCTATGGTAAACCCATCGTGATGAAGACGCAGTTCAGGCTTCTTAAAACAAGGAAGTTGATGTGCGCATAAGGCTGCGTTCATAAATATCGGCAGCGTCCAATAGCGACCAATATCGTCCACCAGCGTTTCAATGGTCCGGCAGCGTCAGCGACTAGGAAGTATAGATATCGATCTAGCGTCTGCCAGCGTCTGCCAGCGTCTACCAGCGACCAGCAGCGTCCGGGAGTGGAGAGTATGGGGCGATAGGAGGGTAGCAGACAGCTGGTAGAGTATGGGGAGATAGGAGGTAGCAGGTTGCTGGTAGAGAGTATGGCGCCATAGAGGGTAGCAGACAGCTGGTGCCCTCCTATCGCCCCATACTCTCTACCAGCAGTCTGCTGCTGGTCGCTGGTGGACGCTGGTAGACGCTGGCAGACGCTGGCAGACGCTAGATCTATATCCATGCTTCCCTGATCGCTGACGCTGCCGGAGGCTCGGCTGCCTTTTCTACCATTAGTAATCAGTTCGTGATCGTTTCAGGAAGAAAACAAGCAGTGCTAAAAAAGTCCGAGGGTTGGCCCATCTGCCTCTTGAGACCGTCCCGACTGAATTCGATGATATCAACGGTATGAGCACGGCAGTCGAATCGAATGTCGATGGGCGAGTTCGAAGCTACCTTGGTTCTTGTTTTTCGACCGATCTGGGCGATCGGCAGGTTAGACGCAATGGGTGTCCTTCGACCACTCGACAGAACTTGGCTTTGACTGCCGTAAACATGACCTGCGGCATGGTTAAGGTCCGTACGACCGTGTCGACTTAAAGAATCACGATAATTTTAGCGCACGATACCTACCGTAAAACATGACAGTTGTGTTGACGATGATTGTGACACTCGCAACGGAAAAATGGTGAAAGTTCGGAAATTACACGAGATAGGGCCATTTTCTCGTCAATATAAATTCAGTTGGGGACGAGTGATGAGCACACTTCACCATCAATCATGGCGTTTGTTCATTTAGTGTCACTTTCCCTGTTAATGTTTCAGTCGTGTTCTGTCTTTTCCAAGAGAGCGAGAGAGCACGAGAGATGTTAGGGCGTTCTCCTGCGCTAGTTGGGCAGTACTGGGCTGCCCACGCTTCCATCTCTCCGTTAGCAACTTTTTGCGAAGGAGCTAAGCAGGTCAGCAAAGTTGAATTTCAAGGGTTAAGGGGTCCTATATGAGGCGGTGCTTGCCATCGTTGTCTTAACATCAAACACTTAGCAAGCAGAACGAATGCTGCCGAATTCGATCATTCGTGTTCAGTCACTTTGCTGCTGAACTGGACGGAGACGATGTTCATGACAAAAGGTTCAGACTCTGACGCCTCTTCTTCGCTCAAGTGTACGAACATCCTCGAATGGTCCATGCTCGACCATTGTTCAACCTCGGCATTGTTATTCCATACAAATATAATTTATTCAAGGCGTCCGAGATTGTTATCAATCTTTATCGATAAAGCCGAAGTTTCGGCGTCTTTGCCTTCGTCAGAGCCTGAATCAAGCAACACGAATGACCCGTCGTTCCAAAGCTTCGGCAGAGAAAAAAAACAAGCTGCCAACCAAGCGAATCCAACAAAAGTATAACTGCGCCTGACCTAGAGCTGATGACCACTCTCTTGTTAAGTTATGATGAGCTCCCCCACCGCTCATCATGAATCACCGGACCTGTTAATGAATAACGCCGGCACAAGGTTCGGCATACTCGCGAATTCGACGCGTAAACGGCAACAGCTCCTCCTTCCTGTTCATGTTTGAATATTTCCATCCCAATGTCTTCATGGTTAGACCCATCATAAGCAGCATTGGGGGTCCTACCGGCAAAATTCATGTTGACTGAATATAGTCTTGGGACAGCTACTTCAACGTATTCCGTTACACCTGGAGAATTTACCGAAATGCCATTGAATAACTTATCCAACGCCAACACTCATGAAGGTTGTGTTACACAATCGTTTGACGTTACACCACTATAAACCAATTTATCAAATGACCCTGCGCTTAAGGCTATCAGAATTCACCTGCAGGCATGAGGCGAACTGCTCAACCTCAAGTCCGGTATTCACGAATAACGAACTTTTCAGTAGGGCGCACAGTGGACTCACAAAAAAAATTTTGGGTAGGAGGTGAATTGCATTGCTCATAGTCCGGCAGCAGACACACCATATTCGACGCGCTCTACCTGGAAAACAAACCCAATTTTCCAAGAACAGGCCGGATCTTAATCAACTTATTTTCTACGGGGACAGGTTTGACTGAGAGTTAGGATTCTAGAGATAATTCGACCTCCTGAACACGACATCACTCCCACTTGCCTGACCAAGGCGTATTTTCTCGCCAGCGCCAAACTACCCTAGGTCACCTAAACCCGCATAACAGCTTGTCAACATAAGACCGCTTTAAACATTCTGATTGCACTACTATCATTCATTTTTTGGCCTCGTCGCTGAGAAGACGCTTCGCGTTATCAGCAGAACAATGTTGAGCCTATTTCTGTGATTGTCTGCGCTCTGGTATGGCTGGCCTGACTTGAAGGAAAACACTATTTCTCACACGCTCAGCCCTAGAAAGTGTTAAATGACGCTGGAGTGAATGTACCATACAATGCAAATTAACACCGAATTCAGGGGGAAAGGCGCGGCGGCCAAAACTAATGTAGCGCACATTGGGCGCCACCGAAACGAGTGCTATATTCGTGATTAGGACACTGAACTATTTCTATGGGCGAGGTTTCACCAAAAGAAAATCTTTTGTCTTTTTGGGCAGTAATAGCTTGTTGAATTAGTGCTTTATGGTTTCTCGGCGTTTCAGCATACAATAGTTGAGCCTGATTTCAACTTCCGCATTCGGAACCTTCGGGTTCACAAGGATAGTTGGCTCTGATTACCAGTGGAATAAGATTAGACTATAGCACAGGAAAAAAAAATCATGGAAACCTTAGTTTCTGAACGGCAGAACGAAAACTGCCCTTCTTCCTCTCAGCTTATTAAGAATTCCCATTTTTTTGACAGAAAAAGATCTGCTTTTTCCCAACAATAGTTTAGTTCGACTTCGTGCAGCTGCCATTATACCCTGAATGAGTTCACTTCTGTTACAGCCAGCTCAAAGCCATTACTATGTCGCAAATTTTTTTTCGGCTACGACCCGCTTTTTTTCCAGGTAACGGCGCGTCAATATATGGGTGCGACGTTCCGTGCGATCACTATAGCAATGCACCTGAAGCTCACGGCCTTAAAGGTCTTTTGTGAGCCTCGTTGACGCCCTACTGAATAACGTTTATTGATATCCGTTTCACCATTTCGCAATCATGATGGAGCGTTGGCAAGTGTCTCATCTTGCTCCATCTTCCTCGGTGGTCGAGATATTACAAACAGCTGAGAGGTTTGGTCATGGGACAAAGACTCGCTCCTATTCTAGCCATAGCTTTCATGCCAAGAATCAAAAATACCCATGTTGGCGAAACCGCTCTTTTGCCATACAAATATAGACGAATGCCTCATAACATGCCATACTCAAGGCGAAGTGGACATGTCATTCGACCTTCTGAATAAGCACTCAGTCAACATTCACGAGGGAAACGCAAGCCCAACAAACAAGAACACACTTGTTTCATTTGTATTTTGTTCTGGCCCCATAAGTAATGACGTTTTTTTTCACTGGAGTTTTGCTTCCGAAAGTGAAAACAATTCTCTCTACTACAAAGATATGAAACAGTTTCGGATGAGGAAATAACCTTTGTAAATTTTTTAGTCGTTGAAGTTGAAAGCGAAGTCGGCGAAAATTAGCACCTTCGACAACTGCCTCTATTTACGTATAGTCGAAGTGCTAAAATCGCTTAAGCTGCTCCATACATTTGGAAAAGGTTGAGCTAGAAGTGCCAGCGAGGTCCTCTTGGGACGCTTCGGAACTAATATCAAGAATTTCAAAGTTGGCAACCTTCACCTCGCAGATAATGGGCAGGATCACAAGACACGTCTGCTCCACTTGATAGCTTCATTGGTAATAGCTAAATAGTCTTCGCATAAATGCTGTTTTGGTATGCTTTGATAGGCAAATTTTCCGTGCTCTACAACATCTGCGATAAGAAATCCTTTTTCATTCAGCTGTTTACATTTCTGTTATTTCATATTAATACGGAATGTCTGGTCGATGAGAATCAGCATTCCCGACTTCTTCTCCATACCTCTTTCCACGGAGGTTTCAAAGCCCCTGGAGCAGCTCAATAGATTCTCCATTGTTTTGATAAAGCACTGAGTAACAGATTAATATTAGGACGGCTCACAGTTGATTTTGAGAAAAGCAAGACAACCGACCGACCTTGCAACTATCCGGTCGACCCATACTTCACGATTTTTTTATGTTTTCCTGATTAAATCTATTACACAGACTAGTTTACAACGACTCTATGAAAAAAATGGTAGAGATGAACGTTTCACAATGAACTAGTCAATACATATACCCTCGCATTGTTTCTGAAACCTCGTCCACAAACAGGCCAGCTCAAGTCTCACCGAGAAGGCATTCGAAAAGCAGCTGATCCTTGTTGAGGAGGTTGTAAGAAACATATGGAGAATACACCAATTGATCTAGTTCTTTGCAAAACAGTCTATATTTTTATCCGGTGGCTGTGATAAATATTGAGCTATGAAGTGTAATCAGGAAACACAAAAAATTTGGGGATATGGGTTTATCGGAATGACTGCAAGGTTTTGATTTATGATTTATGATTTATGTTATTATCGGCATTCTATTGACAGTGGCACACATAAAAAAGGAAACGCAGAAAAAAATCTCCGATAATCAACCTAGAACTCAGTGGGAAAACAGCATAAAGTTGTTGCGGTGTAGAGGGGTAAACCAGTGCAGAAGGGCAAGTAGGCCCGCCAACACTGCAAGTCCATCCACGCATCAAATAGGACTCCGGATACCAACTTAGTAGGTCCGCCAACTTTACTGAGACCCAGCTCCAACAGCCGCAGGCAAGGATTAGCAATGGGGTGCAACTAGGTAAGAAATATACATCTTGATAGTAACACAAAACACATTCAATGTATAAGCTCACGACTTAACACACAGTCAAAAATACAACAGTACAGGAAATAGGAATACAAAAATCACTTAATCGCCACTCAGCCTTTCAAAGTGTAATAATTTAGTTTCTGTTCTCAGAACCACCCTCTGGTGAAAATCTATCTTTTCGCCTTTGTCCCTAAACGACTTAGGAGAACTCGAATTTATAGTACTGGTTGGCAGACTATTCCAAAAACTGATAATCCGTTGAGTAAAAGAATTGCGGTACTCTGTTGACTTAATTTTATCTTTTATGAGCTTGTATCGGTGACCTCTGGTGCGCCCAATCGTTGAAGATCTTTTGAAAAGGACATCAAAGTCTAAGTCTACCAACTTAGCGGAAATTTTGAAAGTTAGCTCGTAATCATTCAACTTTCTTCTCATTTCAAGTGAATCCTCCCTCAAGTACTTCAGTCTGTCTCTATATGATACATGGAACATACCCTCACGAGCGAAAATGCGTTCAGTGAAT